CCCCCCCCCCCCGGGATGCCCTCCTTTCGCCCGGGGTATCCCTGCCTGGATTTAATGTGCCTGCCCCCTCCCTGTCCCTTCCCCCAGCCTCGGCTAGCGAGACCCAGGAGATGGGGAGGGGCCCGGGAGCCGGAGAGTGCATGTTGCCGAGAAACAGGTATTTTCCGTAGATACGTACAGATTCCCTGCACTTTCGGTGCAAAGCTCTAGTGTTTAATTGAGAAGAAAAAGAGAGAAAGGGAGAGAGAGAAGAGGGGGCCGGGGAGGGGGGAGGAAAGTTTGAAAGGTCTGAAATCTCTGCGGGGAATGAAGTGCCTGGTGCTAGGGTTCGGCCGAGGAGCGGAGAAAGGTGAAATTTCTGGATGGTGGGGGGAAGGGAGAGCATTTACTAGGTTTCCCCTGCCGGGGGACGGTGGAGGCTGGGATAAGTTGTTTGAGGTTTGTAAGCCCGGGCGGGGGAGGGTTTTGTTTGGAAAGCCCTTCTCTCCCGTTCTGGAGCAGGCTGTGTTGCATTGCAGCAGAAGCGGCAGCCTTCCCCTTCCTCTGTGACCAATACAGTTATTTCTTTCAGCCCCAAAGGGAAGAAATGGATGTTCCGTCGTGAAATGCCTTTTGATTGATAACGGTGAAACACATGGGTGTGATAGTTTTCATTTTTTGTTTTCTCCAGTTGTGTGGGAGAATGAACCAGGGATGTGGTGTGTCATTCGTTGGAGACCCCCCCCACACACAAAATAACCCAAAAAACCAAAAAAACCTTTCTTAAGCTTGTTTTGTGTCCATAACCTCCCGCTTTTGGATTGGTGCGAGACTTAGTGAGAAATGGAACTTCGTAGACTGAAGGCTGATCCATTTTGCGTTATCATCCTGAAAGGCCTGCCTTTTGGGTTAAACAATTGTGGATGAAGTAAAACACTAAAACACTCCATCTCTTTCTTCTGAGATAGTCTTTCATTCCGTTTGGATTTGAATCTCCTTTGTGTTAAAGATTAATGGCTAACCGTTGCCAAGACCTTTATAATGTAATGCAAAGAGATTTGAATGATATAATTACAAATTCCTTCTCTTTGGCCTGAAAATGTTATGTCATTGGGATTTTCCCTCTTGTTTGAAGTAAGATCCGATTTAAACTTTAGTTTTTATTCCCTCCACCCCCAAAATCAGGGTTAAACACAGTCCCATTTTACTTTTAAGTACATTTTTTTTGTGTGTTGTGTTCACTTAAACTCACTATGAATTTTTCCGATTCCAAGTGACTATGTTAGTGTTAGATGTCTGCTTAATGCTGAGTGACCCCTTTTCACAAGCTATTTCAAATGTTTAAAAAGTAATTATGGCATAGAGACCAAGATTAATCCTTGTAAAGTGCAGGTTGAGAAACTTCAGTTATATTTTTGTGCATTTTTTCTCAAGCTCCTGGTGGCCTTGAAAATTCGGGAACTGTTAGCAAAATACATGACTTCGGTCAGATACTATTACATACTTTTGATTTTTACTTTTTTGACTTAATGCTTTAGAAAGGCGTATAGAACAAGTTAATAGCGTTTTTCAGGCTTGCAATAATTTTCTTAACAAAATAAAGCAGGATATTTAACTTTCGGTCAAAGCTATCTGAAAGATTGTGAACAAGTTTAAAGTATTTGTTAAAACTTAAATACCATCCATTGTTTGGACTTAAAAGTTCTAGTTTCTAGTGAAACTTATGTTTTTAAAGCAGTTTTCCTGCCATATTTCTTATTAGCTGTAGAGACAGAAATCACACTACAGTTCGGGTCTGAGAAGTTTGTTTGAGCAGTCTACAGTAATTCTTTGTAGGCTGGTTTTGAATAATTTAAGAGCAGAAAAGAGGATCAGCTAGTTTTTCACTGTGAAAGGCTTTGGCTTGTTTGGTAGCTGGTGTGTGCAGCCTGGGCTGAGCAGTTACTTTAGATGGCTGTGAGGGTAGGGCTGCTTGCTATGAGGTAATCTCATGCTGTGGGAATTACATGTTAACCTTTTAATGGAATGGTGTGTGTGTGTGTGTGTGTGTGTGTGTGTGTGTGTGTGTGTTTTATTTGTTTTTGTTAAGTGAAGGATAGTTTTGGTGTTTCAAAGGCCACCCAGAAATAGGAATATTGAGTAGGAATTTCCATTAAGTTGGTCAGAACTCTGAAGAAATAATTATCTTACAGAATTGAGTATTTGTGGTACAATCTCTCAGATGTTTTAATTTTAGGAACAGCATGTTTTTGTCACATAGTGTACTCTTATACAGAAGGGAACTAAATGCTTTACATTCTTGAAAGCCATAAGCCACGTTCCACATGTAAAATGCTGTGTGTAGATTTATTAAATTTTGATTAGAGGTGGGCAGTAAAAAAAAAAAAAATGGTTTAGTATTTACAAAGGACAGTGGAAGAGTTGGGGGAAGGCACAAGCCAAAAAATACCAAACTGGTATTTTAGTAGCCTGTTGAGTTTTTGCTTCTGTTTTTTTTTTTTTTTTTTTTTTTCATTTGTATAATGCTTCTAAAGTGTAAGATTCTTTGTGACTGAAAAGTATGTATGGGATTGTATCTTTTAAAAGCTGGTTGATTACTCAGAATTTTATCTTTCACTTTAAAAAAAAAAAAAAACAAAACAAAAAACCAGAAAGAACCTGTTATAGTTAAAATAGTTCCCTATAGTCTGATCTCTAGGAATTGCTCAGAAAATTTTGGATTGACATTTTTGTGCCATATTGTGTGGCCGGGTCTAATGAAACACTAGATACTCAGACTTTTTCGTGTAAAAATACATAATGGGGTTATGAGGATTTGACCAAAGCTACTTACTTTTGAGTGACCTTGAGCTAAGCGTCTAAATTCACGGACAGATACACACAATATTAGATACCATATATACAAATCAGTGATAAATATCAGTATATATGTATATATCTGTATATGGTTTACTTGTTTGCTTTTTGATGCAGGCTTTCATGTATTCTGTGCAGGCCTGAGACTCAGTTGTATAACCAAGGATGACCTTAATTCTGATTTTCCCACTTCCACCAGCAGAATGCTGGGATTATGTATGGGCTTGTGACAGCATGCACAGCTTGATGCTCTATTGGGAGGTCTTCCCAGGGCTTGCTACATACCAGACAAGCATTCTGTGCCCTAGTACATAGCTAGGTGATATTTTTATTGTTGTTTTGTTTGTTTGTTTTTTCAAGACAGGCTTTCTCTGTGTAGCCTTGGCTGTCCTGGACTTGTTTTGTAGACTGGGCTGGCCTCAAACTCACAGAGGTCTGCCTGCCTCTGCCTCCTTGAGTGCTAGGATTACAGGCAGGTGCCATTGAACCCAGTTGCTAGGTAACTCTTTACTGGGTTGTGAAGATCAAATACAGAAGTCAATTTTTTTTCTTGTTTTGAGATAAAAACTTATTAGACTAGTTGTACAAAACTTTTGGGCAATTTGCTTCACTGTTGACCTTACTGATGTCAAATAGGTTACATTTTGCTAATGTAGTCCAGTGATTAGTGGCTAACACCCAGATAAGGGCAATTATACGTTTCTGGGGATTGATTGGGAAGAATGCCATATGTTCATTAGTAACATTTGCTTGCTTGACAGTGGTCACAGAGAGTGGTTCAGGAATGCTACTTTTTAAACTGCGTCATGCCCAGCCTTATTGGTTAGGTGAGGAAGTTTTTTCATTTTTTTTCCTGGGTACATGTTTAGTCTTTGAAACTTTTTATGGTTTTGCAACCTTAATTTATAGTAATGATAAGTTTAATACACATTTGAGAGAGGTACAGCGAAGGGACAGAAAGTTGAGGTTATCTGAACTGTCTTGTTAATTGAGCATATTGGTATAAGAGATAATCCTATTGTTTCCCAGGATTGTGGTGTCAAGCTGTATTTCCAGCACAGGATGAAGATAGTGTCTTCACCCCCGTGGGTCCCCACCTAATGCTTGCAGCTGTTGGATATATGGCTCTTCCACAGAGTAGGAGCCATATAGTCAGGGTTTTTGCTTATTTGTTTTTTGAGATAGGGTATCTTTGTGTAACTTACCTGGCTGTCTTGGAAACTTACTCTGTAGACCAGCCTGGCTTCAGACTCAAGAGATCCACCTGCCTCTGCCTCCTGAATGCTGGGACTAAAGGCTTAGGCCACTGCTGCCCAGCCATCTTCAGTGTTTTTGAATGTCAGTTTTATAGTTATTAAGTGAATAAACCTTGAATATGAGTGTGGATAAGTAGGTAAATTTTATTTTTTAAAAGATTTATTTATTTAATATATGTGAACACTGTTTTCATGCACAGCAGAAGAGGGAATCAGATTTTATTACAGATGGTTGAAAGGCACCAGGTGGTTGCTGGGAATTGAATTCAGGACCTTTGGAAGAGCAGCCAGTTGCGCTTAACCACTGTGCCATCTCTCTAGCCCGGTAAATTTTATGTAACTTTATGTATTATTTAGAGTTTTGGGTATTTTGTTAATCCATTTGGAATAAGCAAACTAATTAGGTAGGCACTATTTGATAGTAAAGAAGAAATTACGTTAGTTGCTTTCATAGTGTGTTCTTTAAAGCAGGGGTGATTGTATAACTTTCAAAATACCTAGTCTTTATTTTGAGAATAAGTAAGTATTTGGAAAGTGAGACGCCAGTTTTTATGTAGTTGTCAGGTAGTAAATAAATACTCGAAGCCTATGTCGTTCCCCTCCCCCACCTCTTCTTTAAAATTAATAGATATAATTGAGGGGAAGGTAAGGTTAAAGATGATCTGAGTTGAGTTACCACAGGAGATGCGTCTAGATATAAGCCTGAGAAATTTGCTTTACGGAGCAGCACAAAGAGCCAAGAGTTTTCTTGTGACACCTGAGTAGCCCCTAAATTGTCTTTTTCTTTCTTTAAGTTCTAAAGGATCTAATACTTCGTTCCCAAGTCGTACCACTAGCCCAGGGTTCTGCATTTTCATATTCATGTTACCAGTATAATACTTGGCTAATGCTGTCTGTATCCTAGTGTGTTTGACTTTGATATTCTTTTTAGAATCTTACGTACTAATAGTAACAGTCACAGTTTTGGAGTGCCTGTGACATTCTAGAACTGTACTGGGTACAGCTCTGGTAGGATGTGGTATAGTATTTGCAGACAGAGGTGTTAATAAAGTTAAACAGACGCCGG